ACTTGGAATCAGGGAAAATATACAAACTTTTGGTCAACAAGTCAAAATAATTAAAGACCCAGGCCCGATCCGATTTTATCCGATTCCCGGTTCGACCGGAGTCTTGAATAGTTTTGACCGATTTTTTTTTGCCGATTTTATTCCTTGCTCGACTCGGCTTAGATTTTGGTTCCTGGTTAAAGCGGTTCAACCGACCAGTTCGAGCCACACTTAACAACACTAGTTTTAGGGGAGGCTAACTTGAAGAAATGAGGTTGTTCTACAGTTTCTTCCAAGCTTTGCCCTAATTTTGGGTTTAGGCTATGTACAGAAGAAAGTGGTATGATTTTTTCCAGTTTGAACAATAAGTCACGCATGCAACATCGAAAATCAAATAATTCACGTCTTGAAAAATATTAAAATACAAATCGTCATTTTTTAGGGGAAAGAATATGAGAATACTTTTAAAATTTTTGCGATACATACTTTCCTTTATCCTAATTGAGAACCAATAGTAACTCCTGATAGAATTTTTTTTTTTTTTTTAGAGAACCAGGGCGGTACCTGGCGGGCACCCCCCCCCCCCGATTTTATTAATTAAAAGGAAAAAATTACATAGGCAGTGCTTAAGACTTACCCATACTGAAGAAAACCGTCTTAGAAAGATTTTTTAAAAATCCCATGACGGTTTCAAATTAAATTAAGCTAAGAACTGTCTTACAATGAGTTCCCTAAAAAACTCGTGACAGTTCTGTTTTTATGGACTAATGAAAAATTCCTAAATAACTGCTTTACAAAGATCATACAAGAATCCCATAGCAGTTTCCTAGTTTCAATCAATTAAACTAAAAGACTATCTCACAAAGATCTTCTAAAAACCCCATGACAGCTCTCTAATCTATCCTGTCTACCTAACATGAATATATAAGAAAGACCTTTGGTCCAAGTATAAAATACCTCGCAAGGAGCTAGGAAGGCTGGCTAAACTGTCATGTTCTATTGATTCTCCTCTTGATGCTTGCTTTGATAGGCCATCTGCTAAAGCATTGATCTCTCTGAATATATGATGCACTTGAAACCCAGTGCGATGTAAAATACCTTTTATCTGCTGTAATGAGCCATGGTGCTTTCAGGGAAATTTCTTGCCATTGTGTAACAATTGGACCACTAATTTGCTATCCGTTTGAATCTTTACCTTGTGATATCCTTTTTCTTCTGCCCATTTCAATCCTTGTAGAATACCCTCTATTTCTGCTGAGAGGCTGGTAGATTCTCCTATATGTTTGCTTATTCCTTTGATGAAAATGCCTCATTCAACTCGAGCTACAAAACCCCATCTCGATTCTCCTGGACTTCATAATGCTGGCCCATCAGTGTTGATAATGATCTCTCCAGGTTCCGGTGGTATCTAACATAGTGAAGTGATTTTTTTCTCTTTCCTTCCTCTGACTTTAACATGAAAAGTTTCCTCTAGCTCATGTACCTCAGCCAGGGTTCTTGCTCATAACTCATGAATACTCAAAATCATTGAAATGTTAGTGAAAATTCCATGAGTTATTGATTCAAAAGAAAACAAAGTGCCTTCAAAAAAACACTTATTTCGTGTTTTCCAAATTTCCCATAGGATGAAGGTTGGAGTGATCATGATAACTGCTTTTTTTGCTGATGAGAAGTTTCCAATTGAAAACCATGCTTGCACAAAGCTCCATAAACCTACACTAAAAGGTAAAAAAATTCCATACAAAGCCAAGAAATAATACCAAACCTTTCTCACTTGTCGACATTCGTAAAGACGTGCTGTATACTTTCCTCCGCTTAAACACATTGGGCATCTAATTGGGTGAGAACTAAATCCCATCTTCTGTAATACTTCTGGAAAAGCAACAAGTTGGTTAAACAACCTCCACAAAAAGAAAGAGATTTTTATGGGGATTAATTTATTCCAAAAACATTTCATAATGGGGACTTCAGTTTTCCCTCCCTGATTTCCATATAAGCAGTTGCTAGGGTGAAATCCCCCACCATTGATGTCTTCCATATGCATTGATCCTCCTCCTGAGAAAAATTTATATCCATTCCTTCCAAAATTTGCAAAACCTGTGGCTGCAAAAAGTCATTGAATTCTTGCAGATAAAAAATTTTGTTAAGAAAAAATCCTTTAACCTGCAAGTCCTTAAATTACGGGTCACTTAACCAATTCAGGGACCATAGAGGCCCTTGATTTAGCCATCCATCATACCAAAAAGAAACCTCCCCTTTTCCAAGCACAATTTTTTATCTCTCTTTCGTAAAATGATGAACCTTTAGAACCCTGCTCCCGCTTGTCTTTTCTCTTGAAGTATTTGATAAAGAATTTACAAATCTCACCCAAATGCCTTTGTTACACTTCCATTTCCACCAGAGCTTAAGCGAGAAAGCATCAACATTATCTTGAAATTTTCGCAATCCAAGTCCATTTTCAGCCGTGGGAAAGGTAAGTTTTCTCCAAGCTTTCCAATGCCTATGAGCAACATCTTCCTTCATCCCCCAAAGAAAATTCTGGCATCTTTTTTCCAAAGCTTCTAGGATCATTTTTGGTGGCTCAATTGCTGAGAAAGTATGCATAGGTATAGCAGATAAAACATGTCGAATCAAAAGCAACCTTCGCCGGTAAACAACAATTTATTTTTCCAATTTGAAAGTCTGGCATCAACATTGTCAAGAAGATGCTGAAAATAATTAGCCTTTTTCCTTCCCTGAAAAAGATGGCAGCCCAAGTACGCAAAAGAAAATGCCCTCTCGGCATCTGAAGAACTCTATTAACCATATCAATATGCTGCAGAGAGCTCTTTTCTGAAACCAAAAAAAAACTCTTTTGCTTGTTGATTTTCTAACCTGAGGCTTCTTCATATTCTTGGAAGAAAATGTTCAATTGTTCCATTGACTTTTTGAGGCCTTTCGTAAAAATGATTAGATCATCAGCAAAACATAGATGTGACACCCTGGATGGAATGCTATAAGCTGCAATACGACCACTTTCCATAAGCGCATTAAGCCGTCTAGTCAATGCTTCCGATACCAAAATGAAGAGATATGGAGAAAAAGGGTCTCCTTGTTTTATGCCTCTTGAAGCTTTAAAAACCCCTGCTGGACTTCCATTCAGTAATATCGAGAACCAACTATCCCTAAGATTATCCATTATCAGTGATACAAATCTATCACAAAACCCGAATTTCTCCATAACCTTTTGCAGGAATCTCCATGAAACGTGATCGAACGCCTTCATCATATCAAGCTTGAGAATCAAGTTTCCCCCTCTTGTCTTTTTATTCAGGAATTGACAGAGATCTTGTGTTAAAAGAACGTTATCTATTATATCTCTGCCTTGTAAAAAAGCTGACTGCTCCTCAGATATTATACGAGGCAATACCTTCTTAAGCCTTTCAGTCAAAATCTTTGTAAAAACTTTATTAACAAAGTTGCAAAGACTTATTGGCCGAAAGTCTGCAAAAGATATGCTTGAAGCCTTTTTGGGGATCAAAGTGATAGTTGTGCATCCAATCGCACGAGGAAGAGGAACACCTGCCATAAACTCCTGATAAGCTAACAACAAATCAGAACATATTATATTCCAACAACGCCGATAAAAATCACCTCCAAAGCCATCAATTTCCGGGGCGTTACTTGGATGCAAACTAAAAACCGCATTCTTCATTTCCTCCATCAAAATTGGTTGGATTAAAGAGCCATTTTCTTCCGAGGTGACGGTATTAGGAATGCAAATTAGCATTTTTTATATAACTTCTTCTTGATCATTTTCTGTCTCCTTCGTAAGAAGTGTTTGAAAGAAATGGACTGCTTCATTTTCAATCTCCTCTCTATTTGAAAGCCAATTGCCATTGTGCCCTTTAATTTTATAAATGCCTAGTCTCGCCCTTTTCTCCATCAACGAAGCGTGAAAGAAAGCCGTATTTGCGTCACCCTCCTTCATCCATTTCAACTTTGATTTTTGTCTCCAGAAATCATCATGCTCCCGAAGTTTTTGGAATAAATCTGCTTGAGCTTTATTAAGAGAAATACGGTCAATTGTTGGACCTGAAGCATCATATATTTCCTCTCTTAATTAGACTTCAACTTCCGCTACCCGTAAATTTTCAAATACATCACCAAATTCCAGCTTATTCCATTCCTTCAGACGAGCTTTTAACTGTCGCAATTTTTCCGAGAAAGCATACATACCATAGCCTTGTACCGGTTGATCCCAATTTTGTTTCACCATGCTTAGAAAAGATTGCCTCCGAAGCCACATTTTCTGAAACCGAAACAGCCTTGGCCTTGACTTCATGATGTGATTAAATTGATGAAGCAAAGGGGAGTGATCCGAGGAAGCCCTATTGAGATGCTGCACCCTGGAAATTGGAAAGAGTGAAAGCCATTCTTCCGTGAACAAGATTCTATCCAATTTTTTTAACACCCGGCCATTTTGACGATTTCCCACCCAAGTAAAACCACTTCCAATTGACTGAATCTCTGTCAAGTCACAAGAACTTATCCATTGATTGAAATCTTCAATAGAAGCTCGATCCGGCTGAGAATTCCCAGAGTATTCATCAAGATTACGAATAACATTGAAGTCGCCACCCACCATCCAAGGATCTCCTAAGTGCTGATTCTGAAACTCTGTAAGCTCTTCCCATAGCTCATTTCCTCCTTGTCTTGTAGATTTTGCATAGAGCGCAGTGATGAGGAATCATGTTGATGATTGCAAATGTTTAACGTCAAGATGCAAAGTTTGCTCAGAATCTCCCAGCAGTGTAACATCAAAATCATTAGACCAAAAGATCCATATTTTTCCTGTGATTGAAGAAATTGCTTTGTCAAAGTGTAAACTTTGCTTCAATTCCTCTAATTTATTCACCTGCAACATAGGCTCAAGAAGAATAATAAAAGAAATAGAATGCATAGATTTTAAATTTTTTAGTCTACGTTGTGATGCCTTGTTTCCTATACCTCTTACATTCCATATTAATTGATTTATCATTTTAAACATTGGGAGGAATGTCACCTTGGAGTCTCGCCGAACGACGAGTTTCACCTTCGTTCCCATTATTGTTTACCCCATTTTTGGATCCTTTTGGACGTCCACGCTTTTTCTTCCTTTCTTCTCCGTCCGAAGCAGAACCGCGAGCTTCCTCAGTAGAGACGAAGTCTAAACTACCTCCAATTTCAGAATCATGCACAGAGACCAAAATCTGATCGTGGGAAGTAGAACGTAGATGTTCATGAGGCTTCTCCGTAATCGTGCCTTTGTCACTTCCAACATCAGAATCAATGTCCTCCTGTAAATTAGCATCTACTTCCGTGTCCCTAGTTACTGGATTGTCCAAATCAGCCAAGACTTCAAACCGAGAAGAAGTTTCAATTGTTTGAACAAAAACAGCATGTTCTGGCGAAACAGCGCGCTGTGGAGAAACACCTCGCTGTTTTTCTACATTTTGTTCATCCACCTGCAAATTTTTCAATTCCGCAATGTCCCAAGAATCCAAGAGTGATGGTTCTTTATCATTTTCTTGTATAATTGACACTAACCTCTCCTTCGTCAGTTTTCTTTTCCCAGATAATTGAATTTGGATCAAAGGACTTCGCTCCATTACATCAACTGGGATACTTTGTTTTTCTTCATTGGATAAGCCGGAGGTGGATGGACCATGATGATCTTTTGTTTTCTCCATCTCGTTTTCCTGCAGGACCGAGGGCTTAGCCTTCCACACATATTTCGTCTGCTTTTGTGCTTCCTTTGGAATGATTTGAAGCTTCTCGGTAGCTGTTTTTACAACCAAATTTTTTGAGTTTGCTGTCTGTTTTTGATTCCCTGCTTCTGTGGTATAATCAACCTCACTTTTCCATTATTTTATGTACTTACAGTTCTTCACCGAGTGTCCGATTTTACTGCATTCCGTGCAATACTCAGGAAGATTCTCATACGTAACCGCCTGGAAGTATGTATTTCCTTCAACTCCGAGACGAATTCGTTTCGGCAAGTCTTTCAAAAGATCCACTTCCATGCATGCTCTTGCAACCAAAGGTCTTGACATGTTCAAAGTGGGAACATCAATTTTTAAAGGTTTCCCAATTATGCCGGCTAACTTCCTCAGATATTGTTCATTAAATCGATGCACCGGCATACCCTCAAAAGAAACCCAAACCGGCACAATCGAAGATTCAAAATTTGGATTAAAACTGGTTGTCTATTTCAGCACTCGCATCACATGATTTTCAAAATTCCACCAACCCCTCATCCAACATCTTTGGTAATCTTCTTCGAGTTCAAAATATATTAAGACATGACGATAATCACTCATACCAATGGAAAAATTACCTTTAAAGCCGATTGTTTGAAATTCTTTCCATAGAAAATCCATTTTCGGTCTGCCCTTGGAAAATTTTCCAACAAGTGCCAGACGAAAGGGAATTGCTAACCTGTCATCTTCTTCTTTGGAGAGGAGAAAAGACGGCTCCCCTTTGTAGACTGTTGGTTCAGGCAGTATTGTTGGGGTTGTCGGAACTAGGGTTTCCACAGACGAACTGAGAAGCCTGGGATTTGGTTTTAGTCCTTTAATAATTTGAGCATAAGATCTATTCGGGATGGAGCCTTGATTGGCTTTTGTACCGAGCGGCCGGTCTTTGGCCATCAAGGCCGGCGGCTATGATGTTTGCCGTGATAGGGTTTTGGTTTTTTAGAGAGAAGTTGGAGAAAAATTTTTAGAGAGAAGTCAAAATGAAATTTTTCAGTAACTGTTAAACTCCTGATAGAATCACTAGGACATTACTATTGACGAATCTAGGGGACATACAAGATAAGTACGGTCAAACCTTAAAACTCAATGTGTACAGTTTTTTTAAGTACAGAGAAACTAATTAATATAAATTTTAAAACAATGAAGACTATAATTTTAGACATCATGTGATATTTTTTTTTTCGATTTCAATTTTTTCATTTCTTTTTTCTGATGGACTTCTTTTTTCATTTAGGTTTTCTTTTATTTTATGCTGATCAGTAGCTTGGGGGGTTGGTTGATAAAATCACACTTGAACATAGTTACTGAAAGAATATCTTTATACTTAGTACGGTGAAGTAGGGAATAACATTTTTTAAATTTACCCATAAAACTCCACCCCACCTTAAACGTGATTTGACTTGTAATTCTGAGAAAAGTAAAATTATGATCACATTCTGGATGTAGAATAGTATATTATACTGCAGTATCTATCCTAAAAAATTCGCGTTTCTTCCAACTTATATAATTTGACGTGGTGTAACTATTACTATAAATATTTGCTCGAGATATTTGAGAGAGTGATAAGATACAAATCAATGACATTAAACAAAACTATCGTGTGGTGAATGACTTGTAAAATTCTCAAACAAAACAAAGGTTTACCCTCATCTTTCATGTATTATTTCACCTGAACTTGTAAGAAAATATCACATATACTGAGCTTGAGTTTTAGCGATCATTTGTTGAGTTATCGGGAAAAAAAAATAGAAAACGAAAAAGAAAAATGACGTATGAAATTAATTGCTCCTACATTAGTCTTCAGAAGTTCAAGTCAACCCATAAGCGCCTTTTACAAAAGTGAGGTGATTCTTCCCTCGTCCAACCTCCGTTACACTAGTAACGACTCCTGCTCCTAAATCTGATAACATTAGTTTTACAGGATGGCCAATATTTCATGGAGCCATAATATTAATGCGAAGCTTCTTAATGGGGCAGACATAAAATCGACGACTGAAATTTGGTCCTCTGGTGGTCACCACATCTGAGGGCAATCTATGGGGTCTGTTTGAAAGGTTTTTAATAGAGACAACTTTAAGCCGAAATGTCTTAAGCTTGTTCCAAATTGCAATCCACTAGAAAATATAGGGGAAAAAAAGGAACAAATCAGCCACTTAACTGTTTCGAAGATTGATCACTTATGAGTAAATAATATACCAATTGAATTAACATAACTGGACGGAAATAATGAAGTAGCCTGAACAATTCAGAACAAATTGTTGCATAGTTTGTGTATCTGTAGAGTTGTATTCCCTCTGTCCTAAAATTATTGTCCAGTTTGAGATTTCACTTTTAGTACAATTTGAACTAAAAATGAAAACTTAAACTGGACAATAATTATGGGACGGAGGGAGTATTATGCTTATGGTACATAAACTTCCCAGAACTAGTTTCAGTTAAGACCAAACATCTTTTTCTCCAAAAAATCACACACAATGTCCAATGAAATTATAACCACCGGGTAATACAATTTTATCAATAGAGAGAAGCAAAAACAATAACAAACGAATAAGTAATTCAGCAATGCTGCACAAGTTAGCTGGTACACCTCAAAAATTGAGGAATACCAATAAACTCAATAAATAAATCATTTTCTTAAAAGGCCAAATAAGAATTCAAAACTAGAAGAAATTGTTGGCAATTCAAAGTGCAGCACAGATGCAGATCTGACATGACTTATTTTGGATCCATATAACAGTTAAATCAGGATTCGGACAGGATCATGGATCTAATTTTAACTTCAAAAGTGAGAAACAGGATCATGGTTTCTTTCTTTTAAAAATTCCCAACATGAAAATTCACTTTAGGCCAAGATTTTAGTCGCCCTTGGAAATCGCCGCGTACCCACTAGTCCAAAAATTGAATCAACGGCCCTCTAGTCACCCTTGGAAATTGCCGCATACCCACTAGTCCAAAAATTGAATCAACGGCCCTTATGTTTTTGGCAGCGCGGGAATTTAGTCAACCTACATCATAGAAAGCTATCCTTGATATAGGAAATGAATCATATATGCCGCAGAAAACTTCTCACTGCCGGAATTGAATGCATCGCAAAGCAAGACGAGTTTCCAAGGATCCAAATGTTACCAACGAATGGGTAGAGAGATTTCATGAGCTTGGAATTGAATCAACAAAATACGAGCTAACATCTTAAAAAAAAAAACAAAAAATACGTAAATTTGCAAAACACGTTGTACTGTGAATAGCATTGATACTTTCATGTCAGCTTAATTTACACTGACCTCTGTCCCATTATTTCTTATCATGAATTTAGGAAAGAAATTACCATGATATTTTAATAATGTTGATGTGCCGAAATTACAACAAGAATAAAGGCCATATTCATCTGTCGTCTCGTCTGTCAATGTGCTCTCCATCCTTCGGTTCGAATGTTCCTTGAATTGCTTTCGAACCAGTATCTCATTTCCTTTCGGCGGTTTTTCCTTTTGTCATCAGTCTTCAACTTATTCATTTCTCTAGGCCCGTTGACCTCTCTAGTTGGGCTTTCTGCTCATGTCCAATCTTCCCTCTGGCCCATTTATGTTGAAAAAACGACCCAACAGATGTATTTTTAATATTTGTACAACTCCAATTCTGCAAGTCTACAACAAGTGTCTTGTGCATTCTATTTTAGGGGCGGCAACTTAAATAAATGAGATTATGTCGCTGTTTCTTCCAAAGTTGGTCCTGCTTTTGGGCTATCTACACAAGAAAGTGTTATGAATTTTTTCAGAGACTCATGCAATTGGAAGAATTTGCATGCGTGAAGTTAGAGAATGACAGGCCAGTATTGCATGCATGCAACATCGAAAATCAAATACTTTACCTCTTCATTGACGTTCGATGAAATCACACTTGACCATTGCAATAATTCCCGTAACAATATCTTTATGGTTAGTCCGGTGAAGTAGGGAATAATCTTTTCTAATTTACTCATAAAAATACGTTCCACCTTAAACATGATTTCATTTGTAATTCTGAGAAAAGTTATACAGGAGAACGTCCGTAAATTAATAATTTATAAATTAATAACTTCTAACCATTAATAATTTTCTTCGATCCCAACTTGGGACCAGTACAAAAAGTGAAAAAATTGATAAAATGATAAGATAATAATGTTTCAGAAAATCTTCTATATATCTATAGGTCCCAACAGTACCATAAATTAATAAATATCTAAAAGAAAAAAATCATAATAATTACTATAAATATTTAGTAAAATATAAACTTTTAATACTTATTTTTTAGTCCGTGAGATGATATGAACTATGTATGAATTTTTTGTGTTCAAAATAGTTTAAATACTTGATTGATTCGGATGTAAAAACAACTGCAAATTCAGTAATTTAGGGACGATTTTTTTCTCACACAAATTCTTTAAATTAATAATTTATAAATTTATCGATTATTTAATAATTCGTAGAATTAATAAATTTTGGTAGTCCCAACACTATTAATTTATAAAAATTCTACCGTATTATGATCACAATATTCTCTATATCTACAATAGTATTTTATGCAATATTCTCTCCTTGGAAAATTGGCACTTCTTCCAACTTATATCTGACGTGGTGTAACTATTATTTCTGGTATCGAGATCTTGAAGGAGTGAAAAGACACAAATCGATGACATTAAACAAAACTATTAAATGACTTGGAAAATTATGAAGCAAAACGGAAGGTTTACTCTCATTTTACATGTATTATTTCACCCGAACTTGTCATCAAAATTTTTCTTGTGGTTTGCACATTATCGCATATACTGGGATTCAGTTTTACCTATCATTTGTTGAGTTATCGGTGTTAAAGGGGAACAAAAATAAAACGAACAAGAAAAATGACGGCTGTAATTACTCCTACATTAGTCTTTAGAGGTTTAAGTCATAGGCGTCATTGGTAGCTGCTCGACTGCTCGTCAAACCTCAGTTACAGCGACTCTTGCTCCTAAAGAACGCTATTTTAAAAGTTGGCCAAGATTTGATGAAGCGATCGATAATAAGGGGAAAATAAAATGAAAATACAAGGACAATTTTATCTTGCTTTACTTTTTGAACAAATGCAACAAACGAACGAACCAATAAGTATATATACTTTTTTTTAGAGAAATAACGATATGTAAAGCGTAATTAGTAGTAAAAACATATTATTATATTTTTTTAACAAATATTTAACAGCAAACATTTACATTATAGTGAGCACACGTACCAAAAGAAACAAAAACAAATCACACACGAAGTGAATGATCCACACGATAGATACATTCTTATTAACTTAACAGTATACACACAAGATCATGCATTTTATAGCATGTAGTTTTACGATCAAATTATCAAATTTAAAGTAGGGCGTTCAATTCTCCGGCTTGGATTCTGGGATGGAATTCACAGCCTGACCCGGAAATGAGCAGCATTTGCAACCTTTTCTATAATAACCGCGTCCACAGCAACCAAATCGGCAATATCCGCCGCGTCCACCGCCATTTCCGCGACGCCCTCCACCGTATCCGCCCTTTCCACCACCGTAATAGCCTCCGCCCGGATATCCACCTCTAGAGTATTTCGAATCTTCTAAGCCGTTTGTCTCAGCTACATCAAAAGAATAACAGTAGGTGCATTGTTATATTTCATTACAGTTAAAAAAAAAAAAATTAGGGTACACAAAATAAAGTCACAACATATAATTAATATTTTATTGCATGCAACTTCAACATAATGTATTCCTTATGCCAAAATAATTGCTTTATTTGTTCATTAATGATAGTACTAAAACTAACAATTAATTGGAGATAGAATGAGTTCTATTTCAAATTTAACTAACAGAAACTTGTTTAATACTCCATGCGTCCCATAATTATTATCCAATTTGGATTTTCATTTTTAGTTCAAATTGAACTAAAAGTGAAATATCAAAGTGGACAATAATTTTAGGACAGAGGGAGTAATAAAAAAAAAACCGGAAAAGGCTAGCTATTTCCATTGTAAATCTTACTTTCAACCAAATCCCTAGCGGAGACCTCTGAGGCAATCAGGAGTACTAATGCGATAAGGACCAAGAAGATAATTGCCTTTGAACTCATGGTTTTTGCTAGCCAATATTACTTTCCTGTATACTCAAATGAGAAGGAATGTGATGGAAGGCTGATAATTCTTTTGCATTCTCTTACGTATTTATAGTAGAGGGTTTGGATACAGAACTTTGCATATAGAGAAGTTAAGATATGGATAGAAGAAAAATCGAAATTGTCGAGTGTCGACCCCAGCTCAATTTGTTGGCTGTTGAAGCCAATAAATGAACCATCATATTAAAAATAATATTTGCCAGAAAGTACACAGAATTGGGGTATATCAAGTTATAGCAATATTGAAATGGTCCCAATTTATTGAACTCTATTCTTGTACGTGTTTTTGCATTAAAAAGAAAAAATTGTTCTTTGTAATCCAATCATTCACGACATTATGTTTCTCTTAGGATAAAATTCAGTTAGGTTGCTTTGCATTGGAGAGTTCATGAACGTAATATTCCCTCTAAAAAAAAAGTCTCCAATAAATTTTCATACTTGTATTAAAAATATGAAAAATTTCAAAATTTAATATGGACTATTTTTTCGAACATAAACAGTATTATTTGCTTCGTTGTGTTAACTAGGACTTGATGAGTCACTTTCCAATAATATTATTGAAATATTATTTGAGTTCAAAGGAATTGACCTAGTGATCAAAATCTTTTAGTATAATTTATATTAAAAAAGATTAAAAAACAAAAAAAAATCTCAGCCGGACAGTCACTTGAACATGGAAAGATCAAGAAGAGATCGATTATCATCAGATAAACTGGCGGGCCGAGAATGTCTACTACAATTGACCATAGTTCTGGCAAGTAAGCCCCGTACATCTTTATTAGATATGTTCATATGTAGTCTTTTTGTCATACTAGATCCAGTTCGAATATTTAAATCAGAACTTATTAATTATATCCTTCAAAATGAAGGTCGCGAATCTATGACCTGCCGTAAGCAGTGACGTACGAAATTTATGTTCTTTCTGGTCGTGGAAATTATTCCTTTGAGACCCATGTGTCAGCCTTTCTGCCCATTTCGAGTCTTGTATTATTTCAATCCAGAGGAATGCATTGTCAAATTGAGTATTTACGGTTCTTGCTGAATAGTGATTTCCAGACAATTAATGAGCATATGGTATGATCATATTTTTTTTTGTATTTTGTTCTATGATTCCTGTTATAAGGGACGAAAGAAAATTTAGTTGGGCAAGTAAATGATGCTATAGTTGAACTCAAATTGGTTCGTGCGGTTAGACAGCATTCATAGGGCTCTAGTTAAACTTCAACTCAAATCAAATTTTGTCTATTGAGTTCTACATTTTCTTTTTTTAAATGATATACCTATTGTTCGAAGCAAGGCATGCGATTAAAGCAGATTCATATATGGTTAAGTTTTTCAAGAGTTAAAAATCTTCTAACGGATATTTTAATCAAGATTCCATGTTCATATATATGTAGATGCATGTTCAAAATTAAGTTTGTCTAGCACATTTGTCACGTAATGTGTTTGTGAACTACTGACTGCCGTCTAACACAAATTCAACTAACAAATTGTGGTCTCACCTTCAAACACTTGAATTGACATAAAAGATCTTTTATCAGTTAACCTAGTAAATATGTGTGTTTCTCTTTTTGGAAGTGTGTAGTACACTAATGTCCATTGAAGTTCCCACAAAGCTCCTTCTCGTTGTACTACTATTTTTTTTAAAAAAATTTTATGCCAGGTTAAAAAAAAGGAGCTTATATACCCCTGTTGACTTGACCAAAAAATAATCAATTCGAGAAACCCCAAATGTAAAAAGTCAAGAAAAGTGAAACAGACTAAATTAATATAAAATATATATGTTAGTGACCAAACTAGTAAATTGTTAATATAAAAGACCATTTGAATAGTTTACTAAAAAAATAAAAGTGTCATTTCGCCCTCATATTTAAAATTCCTGGTTCTGCCACTGAAGTAACAAACTAACAGTGCCGTGAGGTAATGTGAGTGAAATTGAGCCTCTCATTTGTTCTCCCACCCTAGTCGAGTTCTTTGCGGACAAAGAATCTCTTCTTAGTCAATTTCATCAAAGATGACTTGGATAATGATGATCTTCACTCATGATTTCTTGAGTGATCTTGAGCTGAACTTTGTACAGGAGGATGGCCATTATATCTGAATTCCAACATCAACTGGAGTATTCACAATCTCTTCAGCTTATAAATTTTGATGTCAAAATACTTAATCGACAGCTCCGCTTTGCAATGTCTGGAATAAAACGTATACGACTGCCATACCTAAACACCTGGGAGTTGTTGCTTGCCATAACTCTCAAGGAAAGCATAATCATGCATACATACATATGGCTCACAAATCTTGTGATTTAAAATCGAACAAGATCATAAGCAAGAATTCAACAAAATTATATTGCTTAGTTTGTAGTTAGTTAAGTTTCTCACAAAAAAAAACATTAAAGGTTTGTAGTTACTTAAACTAAATGTTGTCGTCGTGAAACCTAGACGGCTAGACTTGGCCAAATGGCTTTGTGAAAATTAAAGTTGCTACAATGCTACTGTCATTTTGTGCCTAAATTTGGAGGTGATCTGGAGTATTGTTCTTTGCCTCTTTGGTCTTGTTGGCAGGGATGGTCTGAAAATGTCACTTCTCCGAAGGACAAAACAACTGCCCATGTACAACTTTGTTCCTTACTATCGTTTAGATTCATAACCGAAAATTATGTTCATATAAGTTAAAATAGTCGGATAAAAAAAAAAGGGTCCTGCTAGGCTAAAAAATCAGTACATACAAAACATTTTAACACCAATTCCTGTTTTAAATTACGTATTGCAACTTAAAAATTCTTAAACGAACTGAGGTTAATTTCTGCATAACCAGCAAAAGATAAACTATTCCTAACTAAAATTCATCATATCAAAACCTACTAGCTGATTATCTATATGCTCTTCTATCTAAAATATGAACAAGGACGCTAGCCAAAATCGAGATCAATCAGCCAGAGAATCCTGACCAATTTGAAGGAACTCTGGTTGAATCAGAAGGCGGCATGTTGCGCACATTCACGTCAAGTGGGAGCATCCTGTATTCAATGTCGAGGTCCTTGAAGACTTTGATCAACTCCTCAGCTAGACTGGCTCTCCTTGCCCATCTTTCACCCATGTCCTGGTGATTCATTGTGTGTGTTAGCCATAATGACCATTTCAGCCTGTTCATATCTTCAACATCTCGCATCACTATCATTGGAGCCGGGTGCCAATGATCGCTTTTGTTCTCAACGCACCTGCAAAACATCAAGAGTGACCCATTGGTGAAATTCTTTATGAAGTGAAAATACTATGTTTTTGAAATTGTATTGAGCAAGCACAGAAATTAACTAGAACTCTACGTTTCACAGCATTGGTTTTAATGTTTAGAGTTAGCAAACTTCGATCACAAACACAAAAAAGGAAGTGTTCACTCGTGGTAGGGGGATGTGTTTACTTAGGGCATAAAAGTAAAGCAGAATAATTACCTTGTTATTCTTTCCTTCATTAAAGCAATCTTTTCCAAGGGAGTCGAAATGTGGATACAAAAATCGATTGAATCTCCCATATCTGGACTGCGGTAGTAGTTACTGATGGGCTTGGTCGACAGCACACTGTTGGGATATATGATCTTTTGGTTATCGTACCTCAGGAAAACTGTTGTTAGTATATTCATCTCTTCGACTACCATCTGAAATTGGGCATCTGTAAATTAGAGATGTAAGATAGAAGCTAAATACTAATTCGGTTCACTGACCGAAACAGAAATTTCAAGGATCGAAACTTTAACCTGAACTCCCTCAACTTCGACACGGTCACCCACATCAAAGGGGTGCATCACAAACAAGAAGATGATTGCCTCAAATGTTGTCTTGACAGTGTTACCAAACATGAAGGCCACCAAAAGGAGCTGAGAACTCGTAAAGATAAGTAAATGTGTAGATGCCAATTTGAGTATGAGGAGCCATACGACCGCGATGAGTATCCCCACAAGTACATTCGACATTTGGTGTAGCTTGTTTACAGCAGTTTTGGTGTCGTTCAAAGATAAAGCAAGGGCTCTCCTTTCTCGAAATGCGTTAACCTGAAGGAAGAGAACTTACAATTTCAAGCACAAAACAGCTACAAAGCACAACTCCTACTATACCAGAAACAAAAAGATGGCTTTGTAGCAGCCAATCAAATACATGTAGAACTGAATGAAAATTTTTCATGGAGATTTTCACTTAATGAACAAAAAATGCTCCACAAACAACAATCAACAGACAATAGGACAAAAAGCTCAGTCATCAAATGTAAGAAATCGAATCAATGGCTTTGATGTCTCTAATAACTGAAAACCATGACTTCTTACCACCCAATTCTTAAGGGCTGCTTTGCTGATCCCTTTGCCTTCATTGGCACCTTCAAAAAGGCGCATAGTTTTCGCAGCTTCATCCTCTCTCATAAAACGCATCAAATCCGCTTGATAAATAAACCTATTAAACAGAGAAAAGCAAAACATCTTGAGCAAAACGATTGATATAATGACACAACAATAAAAATATCAGCTAGCAATGATACGAATATACAACTTACTTGGAGCCGCGCATTGCAACATTGCAGAAGATCTTCTTGGCAGCAATCTTAGCCTGGTTTTCACTAGTGATCTCTACAGCAGATTCGTCTGCTCCAGCAGCCGAGTCTTGCAATCTCTCATCCAAAGTCGTGAGCGCGCCTTTACGCACGATTTTCATCAACCTCTTCATATTCCAAGCCGATATGTTATGCTGATTCAGCCGGTGCAAATGGTCAATCAGGATGCTTTTTTCCTCTTCCTTCTTAGTCTTAAGCATGCCAGAAAAAGTCGAAAATGTGGGACTTTTGGGACTTTTAGGACTTTTCCGCGGAGATGTGATTCTTCCACTCTTCATAACCTTTGCTTTCAAATCAGCAGGCAATTCAGCACCAGCCTTTTGAAGGTTCTGAACTTCAGCAATTACCGTTTCCTCCTCTTCTTGCTCCATTTGAATCTCAACCAATGGAGGTCCAGACAATGTCTTAATAACATACTGATTAAACAAAGACTCCTGAATCCGATCGAAAAATGAACTAACATGAAACGAAGAAGCCAGAACCTTAACAAGCAATGTCTTGACAAGCCAAATCAATGTCCCAACCAAAAGACACACCAAAATCTTAGTCACATAAGGCAAAATGCTTCCACGAGTCAATCTCTCAACTTTCTTATCAAAAATAAATTGCCAAGCAATCAAAACCAATGCCAACCAAACACAATTCTGAACAGCTTTCCTCAACCCATACACAAAATACAAAACCCTTTTCCTCAACAAAAAGTTCCTCTCTATAAAGAACACCACAACCCTAATTCCCCACCCTGAAACCAATCTCCCACAAATCAAAACCAAAACCAATAAATCCCATCTCCATAATTCCAAGTCAAATGTCTTAATTTTCTTCAGTTTTGGAATTGCAAGGCTACAAACTAAGCCTGCTAAGATCACAATCAAACTTACAGTCTGAATCAAAGTGAGGGGACTAAAATAATTCATCTTTTTGTATTCTTCTGGTATATCATCCCCCAAAAAAGGGTCATCTTCGTCTATTTCGCTAGATTTTCCCAAAACCCCAGATTTCATCCCAATCCTCCCTGACCGTTGATCTTGCTCCGGCGGGTCTTCCAATCTAGACTTTGTCTTCGTCCTTAAAAGACTCGATTTTCGCTGGAACGATGAGTTCCCACTACACACCAAAACCTCCTCCGGTCCGGCGTTTGCATTAGACCGGTGGCGAACATTTTCCGGCGAAACATAATTCTCATTGAACGAAGCCTTATTAAAAGAATCCTCAGTTATCCTGGATAACTGCGGTGATTCCGTCCCAAAATCAAAGTCTTTACCGTTATTAGCAATGGCCTGCATGGCTTCATCGTTGGAAAAATCGTAGCTTGAATCTCTCCAGAGGCTAGTTTTAAGGCCGATTTCATTGTTACTCAACTGGGCTTGACTTTGATTTTGATCTTCCCGAGGAGGAGTAGAAAGTTGGGTTTCCTTTTCCACCTTTGTTGGGTTGATGTCGATGACGACATCGGCCGGAGTAGATGAAACGCCGGATGATGAAGACATGTTGTTGGGCTTGGGCTTACCGGCACCTGAAAAGTTCAGGTTTTCTTGATGGGTATGGCTGAGTAAAAGGCCCAACCGCTCGTCTTCCGGTGACAGGTTATGGGATTGATTAGCAGAAGTATCGCTATTGCTGCTGTATTTAAAGGATTTTCGGAGTACTTCCATGTAGGGTTTAAGCTTTACGGTTGAATTCAAGATTGTTCCGCATTTGGTTTCAGAAAGAAAAGAAGAAATTGTTAAGTGAAGACGTAGGAATTTCAGCTTTTGTAGATGGGTATAAAAATTTGGTCTCGTGGGATCTTTCGTTGGGTTTTTGGCTATGGCGAAATAGGTACGGTTTTATATGGCTTTTTCTGGACAGCTCGAAAATGGAAATAAGCGTGAATTAGGGAAATTTAATCACCGGGAAAAAGATGCGGCAGAGGCGGAAGGGAAACAGACACGAAGAACAACTTTTAGGGCACGGAGGGTGTATTTTCTAAATTACCCCGAGCAACAAAATACTCCTAGTCTCAGACTACTAAACGATAAATAGTGTTTTGTTTCGTAAGGCTAATTTGTGAAATACAATAAATTTTCACTTTGTCTCTTAAAAGTTGCTCGTTCCAAATGACGGCCGCTTAGTCTATATTGAAGGATTTGGTAATTTTATTGGTTTAGGGAAAGATTGAGATCGGAGAAGTGTCTCGAATCGTATATTTGTGTACCCTTTAAGGTAAGGATAAATATTTACGTTTATTGGAGAATGGTATGACTTATGAACTAAGGATGTGTAATGCTGTATAGAATGTGGAATCTATAGTGTATATATATATATATGTATATGTTTATGTATATATGTATATGTATATGTATATATATTTTTATTTATTTATTTATTTATTTATATCTTACTATATTAGAAACAAAAACCATACTTAAGAGAAAGCACCACCATTTGCCATGTGGCATTTTCACATCATATTTTTAAAATAAATTTTTATTTCCACATCTCCTAGACTTAAAAGGTAAATGCAGTTCAAATCCACCCCCATCTCCTATTTTCGTCAAAAAAAAAAAAAAACCCAGGGGTTCATAAAAAACCCAAATACTCATCCCCATCTCTACCACAATGGACTCCCTAATCAATCCCTTCTCCACAATAAAAAAAAATAAATTACTCATCAATCATCAATTGAGAATATGTGGTGAAATCAACTCCATTCCAATTAGCATGTTCAATCTTTTCATTAGTGTTGATCAACTACATCCTAATCGAATAAAATTTCGACTTCAAAAAATATTCTCTTTACCTCTCTATATAAACACAAAGGGAAAAAAAAATCTCATTGATCTTGCTTCGGCCGTTGTGCTGGTGCGATTACAGGTATTAAAATTTAAATGATTTTATTTCTACAGATCATTTGTTTGGCTTTTATTATTTTTTTTCCCGTTCAAGAATAGTGTTATTACTATTATTTTTATGCGTCCATCCATTACAGCTACCGTAGCCGTTGTCAGGTAATATGATGTGACTTCTTATATGGTTAGTTAGCCTAGAATTTTTGTATGATTTTAGTTTTGTTTGGATTGAATTCATTAATTGGATTTTTGTTGCAAAATGTGGTTTTTAAATTTTTTTTTTATATTTCATTCAATTAGAGTGGTTTTGTTTTTTTAATTATGGAGTTTCAGTTTTTTTTCATATATGGTCAATTATGAAGTGTGCTTTTTCTTTGTTTAATTACTTTTGATTTTGTTTCATACTCCCAATTGACCATTTATTATTATTATTATTACTATTATTATTATTATTATTATTATTATTATTATTATTACTACTATTATTATTAATATTATTATTATTATTATTATTAGTATTTTATTTGCAAATGAAGCGCGTTTTTTTTTTGTTTTTGTGTTCGGCTTTCAAGAATATACTTTTTTAGATTTGATTTTTGGACTTTTTAGAATAGTTCAGTTCGCTTCTTCTAATTAATTTATGGGGAAGCCTTTTATGAATTTGAGGCGGAGAGGGAAGGAATGATGTTTCTACGTTTATTTGAGTTTTATATAAATAAATTTCTCAATTTTTAATGAGCTATCTTTTATTTTCTTTTATTTTCTTAATTTGCCATGGTGAGGTGAATTCTATTTTGCTATAACTTGAAACCTATGCAAATTTACATTATTTTCATTCTCATATTTGTGATCAACCAGTTTCAACAATTAACAAGTTTTAAAATCATATTTTTGATATTTTACTACCTATAAACTTTTGGAAGAAATAGTTCCAACAATTAAGCGTATACCCTTGGGAGGAAGCTTACTACAAAGCTATTATAAATCTCCAAAACTAAGTATTGATTTGGCACAACCAATGGAGAACATCAATAAATTATCTTACTAATGTTTAAACTTATTGGCATGCTTTCATATTTTGTATAGCATTTACTTCAAGACATATATTTGATCAAGTTTATTTATATTTAAGAAGTAACACTTATAAAACATTTCTAAAATCTTCAAACATTTCTAAAATGTACCGGACCTAACACAATTTCTTTTTATGCCAAATACAAACATTTCTATGATCACACTTATAAAACATTTCTAAATTCTTCAAAAATTTCTAAAATATATCGGGCCAAATACAAAATATTTTTTTTTTCAGATACAAACATTTCTAAGATCTACACATATATTTGGCAAGGGTCGCGCATTGCACGATAAGAAATCACTAGTATATATACATATATATATATATATAATAAGAGAAAATTAAAATTTTTCTCATGTTGACACATAGGAGAATATCCTATATGTCTGTATGGCCAGTTTTTTGCTATTCGGGCCGACGAGAGATGTAAGTCTTGGCCCAGGAGTTTTGGTGGATTTATATGACTATAACTGAGGTTTTAAGGCCCTAAAATAGCCCAAAAGTGGCTAAAATACGTTTGGAATCAATATGGGCTAGTTGAATGTAAACAGTTTCAGAATTAGAGAAGCAAAGTATAAGTTAAGTGGGAATAGAATTGTTCCAGAATCGGCTGGATGGTTAATTGGCAATTAAGAAAGATTCCTCCTTATTTCTTGCTCCTTTTAATAAGAGAAATTACCATTAATTAAAGATATATATTTGAGAAAATATTATGTAACCAAATTAAGAGCTGATTGTGAGAAGAGTCATCAATCGATTGGGAGACTGCTGCAGAATAGTATCCTATTTTCAAGGAAATTGACCATGTTAAGCTACCTTTTCTCCAAGGAATTATAGGACAACAAAGGTTTCGTGCAAGTACTATTAATAGAGGCAGCCATGAAGAGAAAAAATTACCGATCAACCATACAACGATTTTGGTTATACTGTAATAGGTGTTCTAACAGTTATGTATGTCAGATTACCCTCTGCAAGTCCATCCTATCTTTGTCTTCTATGTAATAGCGTGTCATCGGCACCATCTACAGCTTGCCGGCGCTAGGATATTCTACTTCATGAGTCAAACGCTGTCTCTTCGGGTTTTTCCCTCTTTCTCTAAGTCATTACCTTTCTTTCTCAAATTAAAGCCAATAACCCTAAGTCCTCGTTCCTGGTCCGAGGCTGGTTCAAACTCAACCACAATCGTCTGACTTCATTGTGTTTTGGGTAATTCATTTTCTCCTATTTTTCCACGGTTTCGGGTGCACAATTTTCACACAAACATAATTTGGCATGCCTAATGGGACTAGCTTTAGTTTGATTTGTAAATCGTGGAAGTCTGCCATCATACCACAAGGTTTTCTGTGTCATAAAAAATCCAAAAAAAAGTCTTTTCTTTTTTCTTTTTCATGGCGTATCTAAATACTCAAAATTATGTCTTTGACACTTCTAGAGGTCCGCTCTACACCCTTGTTCCATATAATCAGTCGCCTGAAAGTTCTAGCCTTGCATACACATTCCCCAACATCCAATATAGCTCATCATCACTTGGTAGGGAAATATCTCAACAACCTCTATCAACATAATCTCATATACAATATAACCCATCATCATTTGGTGAGCAGATTTTCCAACAACTTGCATCGACAAAACCTTACTCTAAGGTTATGTATGTCGCTGATCAACAACCGGAGCAGCAAATTGAGTACCATGACTACAATTGGCACCAAAATAGTGTTGATCACCAGAAAGATGCAAATCTAGTTAGTGCACCCATCTTTAATGCTTATGCCGATTACAACTCTCAAGCAACCGATTACAGAGTTGTATGCCATTTTATCCAATCAGATGATAAGTGGCATTTACTGGCATGCTTATTGGCATGCTTATTGGCATGCTTTCATATTTTGTATAGCATTTACTTCAAGACATATATTTGATCAAGTTTATTTATATTTAAGAAGTAACACTTATAAAACATTTCTAAAATCTTCAAACATTTCTAAAATGTACCGGACCTAACACAATTTCTTTTTATGCCAAATACAAACATTTCTATGATCACACTTATAAAACATTTCTAAATTCTTCAAAAATTTCTAAAATATATCGGGCCAAATACAAAATATTTTTTTTTTCAGATACAAACATTTCTAAGATCTACACATATATTTGGCAAGGGTCGCGCATTGCACGATAAGAAATCACTAGTATATATACATATATATATATATATAATAAGAGAAAATTAAAATTTTTCTCATGTTGACACATAGGAGAATATCCTATATGTCCGTATGGCGCTTTTGCTATTCGGGCCGACGAGAGATGTAAGTCTTGGCCCAGGAGTTTTGGTGGATTTATATGACTATAACTGAGGTTTTAAGGCCCTAAAATAGCCCAAAAGTGGCTAAAATACGTTTGGAATCAATATGGGCTAGTTGAATGTAAACAGTTTCAGAATTAGAGAAGCAAAGTATAAGTTAAGTGGGAATAGAATTGTTCCAGAATCGGCTGGATGGTTAATTGGCAATTAAGAAAGATTCCTCCTTATTTCTTGCTCCTTTTAATAAGAGAAATTACCATTAATTAAAGATATATATTTGAGAAAATATTATGTAACCAAATTAAGAGCTGATTGTGAGAAGAGTCATCAATCGATTGGGAGACTCGCCGAGAATAGTATCCTATTTTCAAGGAAATTGACCATGTTAAGCTACCTTTTCTCCAAGGAATTATAGGACAACAAAGGTTTCGTGCAAGTACTATTAATAGAGGCAGCCATGAAGAGAAAAAATTACCGATCAACCATACAACGATTTTGGTTATACTGTAATAGGTGTTCTAACAGTTATGTATGTCAGATTACCCTCTGCAAGTCCATCCTATCTTTGTCTTCTATGTAATAGCGTGTCATCGGCACCATCTACAGCTTGCCGGCGCTAGGATATTCTACTTCATGAGTCAAACGCTGTCTCTTCGGGTTTTTCCCTCTTTCTCTAAGTCATTACCTTTCTTTCTCAAATTAAAGCCAATAACCCTAAGTCCTCGTTCCTGGTCCGAGGCTGGTTCAAACTCAACCACAATCGTCTGACTTCATTGTGTTTTGGGTAATTCATTTTCTCCTATTTTTCCACGGTTTCGGGTGCACAATTTTCACACAAACATAATTTGGCATGCCTAATGGGACTAGCTTTAGTTTGATTTGTAAATCGTGGAAGTCTGCCATCATACCACAAGGTTTTCTGTGTCATAAAAAATCCAAAAAAAAGTCTTTTCTTTTTTCTTTTTCATGGCGTATCTAAATACTCAAAATTATGTCTTTGACACTTCTAGAGGTCCGCTCTACACCCTTGTTCCATATAATCAGTCGCCTGAAAGTTCTAGCCTTGCATACACATTCCCCAACATCCAATATAGCTCATCATCACTTGGTAGGGAAATATCTCAACAACCTCTATCAACATGATCTCATATACAATATAACCCATCATCATTTGGTGAGCAGATTTTCCAACAACTTGCATCGACAAAACCTTACTCTAAGGTTATGTATGTCGCTGATCAACAACCGGAGCAGCAAATTGAGTACCATGACTACAATTGGCACCAAAATAGTGTTGATCACCAGAAAGATGCAAATCTAGTTAGTGCACCCATCTTTAATGCTTATGCCGATTACAACTCTCAAGCAACCGATTACAGAGTTGTATGCCATTTTATCCAATCAGATGATAAGTGTGACGTAGATTGGCAACTTGGCAGCGCGGATGAACGAGATCAAATTCCGATAATGCAAGAACTTTCAAGTCTCGGGGAGCAAGCCATATTTAGCAATCGGTTGCGCAATTCGGTTGTTATGATTGGCTCGATGGTGGTCAGAGCAATGCACAAGTTCTATTCAAAGATGGCGGACAACAATCTATAGCTTTTGATCATCAACCACAACAGTTTCAGCAGCCGACGGTGACCTTGCAACACCTGTCGTTGCAGTCACTGCAGAGTCAGCTATCATCGATGCATATCCAGCAGTCCCAAACTCGGCCAGGGAGGTTTCAGCAGACCGATCAGTGGATGACATAATCTATGGAGTTGCAATCGACGCAATACCATCAGACATCGATGGAGTGTTCGCAGATTCAGCTATCATTGGCACCAGTCCAGCAGGTTTGCTTACAACCGATTCAACATCAGGATAATGGTTAAGCAACAGAAAAGATCCAACAGATACAGTTACAACATTAGCAAACAGCATCTACATCGGCACATGTCCACTAGTCATATTCGTTGTCGATGGAGTATCAAGATATTCAGTTACCATTTGGACGGATCCGACAGGTTTGGTCACAACCAAAGTAGCCCTAGCAGACTGATCAATAGATTATGCCATTACAGTCCCCGTAACGGACACAGTCTCTAGAATCAGCTCAGCATCAATCATCGGTAGAGATCCAGCCTCAGTCGGTTCATACGGTTCCACAGTCAGTCCAGTCTCAGACGCAGTTACAACTTCAGCAATAGATACAGTCCACAGAGTCACAGTCATTATCAGTGGAGTCTCGACCGACCGATTAGATAGCAATGCAATTGAATGAGATGTCGTTACAGCCATTGTTGGAGGCACAAGAGTCATTGGTGCGAATTCAGCAGATTCAACTATCCCCAGTGCAATCTAGGCAAACCGATCCATCGATAGCAACGATCCAGCAACCGTTGGTACAATGTCAGCAAGAACAACAATCGGTGATACAAATCCAGCAAATGCAATAACGGTTATTTGTAGAGTCTGAATGAATGCGGCAATTACGGGTGTCATGCCAAGAGTTGCAATCATCATCAAGAGTGCCTCAGCAAGTTGAGCAAACAATGATAAAGTTTCGGCAGCCATCATTGCAGTGTCATCAAGTGCAACAATCGGCAATGGGAAACCAACCATCCTTAATACATTATTAGCCGATTTCACGATTGTTGGATCAACAGTTTCAACAAGAAATGATGCAATTGCAAAGATTGGTGGAGTTGCTTTTCCCGAATCTCCAGGGTTCTAATTTACTATTGACGGCACAAAACCAGCTATTGGTGCCGATAGAGCAATTACAGAAGGTACAAGAGCCATCGTCGGATCATGAAGTTCGTTTTACATCGAGGTTAATAGAAACTCAATTGCTGATCGAGCAAATACAAGCTAAGGAGTTGCAGTCGTCATCAAAACCAGTTCAACATGGTCAACAACAAGTGTTGGAATCCTATCAGTTTCATCAACACTCAGAGGCGTTCCGTGAGTGGGTAATGCCGTTTGATCAAAACTCGGTGCCATTTAATGAGTTCCAAGGACAGATGTTACAGTTTCAAAGACAGATGGTGCGAAACAACAAGTTTGATCAGCAACTGGTGCCAAGCAGATCTTTTCAGAGTTGGCCAGTTTTTTGCTATTCAGGCCGACGAGAGATGTGAGTCTTGGCCAGGAGTCTTGATGGATTTTTATGATTATGGCTGATGTTTCAAGGCCCTAAAATAGCCCAAAAGTGGCTAATATACGTTTGAGATCAATATGGACTAGTTGAGTGTGAACAGGTTCAGAATTGGAGAAAGAAAGTATAAGTTAAGTGGGAATAGAATTGTTCCAGAATTGGCTGGATGATTAATTTTCAATTAAGGAAGATTCTTCCTTATTTCTTAATCCTTTTAATATGGGAAATTACCAGTAATTAAAAAAGATATATTTGGAAAAGGATTCTATTACCAAATTAAGAGCTGATTGTGAGAAGAGTCATCAACCGATTGGGAGACTGCTACGGGAATAGTATCCTATTTTCAAGGAAATTGACCATATTAAGCTACATTTTCTCCAAGGAATCATAGGGAAGCAAGGGTTTTGTCGAGGCACTAAAAATAGACGCAGCCATGAAGAGAAAATTATCATCGATCAACCACACAACTGGTTTTCCTTGTCCTTTATTATTTCTTTTACCGTTTATCATGTTTTTACCTTCCCTATGGTAGTTCATCACGTACTATCATGCTTGCTTAGCCCCTAGCTTAGCAATAGAGTTGTTTGCCTTTTTCTCCTATATAGAATTAGGTATGTGTTCACCGTTTTCTACTCCAACGAATTCGGTTACGCTGTAATAGGTGTCCTAACACTTATGTATGTCGGACTACCCTCTGCACGTCCGTCCTATCTTTGTAATCTATGTAATAGCGTGTCATTGGCACAATCTATAGTTTGCTGGCGCTAGGATATTTCACTTTATCAGTCAAACGCCGTCTCTTTGATTTTTTCCCACTTTCTGTAAGTGTTTACCAGTCTTTCTCAAACTAATGCCAGTAACCATAAGTCCTCGTTCCTGGTCTGAGGCCGATTCAAAATCAACCACAATCATCTGACTTAATTGTGTTTTGGGTGATTCATGTTCTCTCTTTTTTCCACGGTTTTGGGTGCACAATTTTTACGCAAGCAGTCATTTTTCTATAGGTTGACATAAAAAATATTTACAATAATTACACGAATAGTCCTTTGAATTTTCAGTTAAGCGATTGTTATCAATTTGCAATTACAGTGTATCAATTAATTGTATGGTAAACTTTCTATTTTGTATTTGATGAAATAAAAAACAAAATGGAATTTTTTTTAAAAAAAGATCAACATTAATGGTTTTTTTTTTCATTATGTATCATATAAAAAAGGTAAATCTTTATTTAATTCAACAATAAAGCTGATTAAGTTGAAAATATTTTCAGATTAGTTTGAATAATGCCATTAGATATTGATTTGATAACTAAACAATATTAATAATTTTTTGAAAATAAAAAATAATTAATACAATATGATTAGTGATTCTTTAATTGCGAATTCTAGGTGTCATTTTATAAAAATGTTTCCAAAAAAAACTTAGTAAAATTAGAAATAAGTCCTTAAATCACAAAGTAATTAAAAAAACGAAAATGTAAGCCCATAAACCAAATTTCTGCATTAATTTAATATTTAAAAAGCTTATTGTCATCCAGAAATTATTCCTAACAAACTAAAGAAATGATTTCCTTATCATATATAAATTTTGGAATTCAAAAAAAATTAATATGCCAGAAGTGATATTTTTTTTTGTTTTTAATTATAATTGGAAATCAATCCTTAAAACTCCTCTATTTTCCCAACTACACATTCAAAAATAATGAAGATGATTGTATATAAGGACCATAAATAACTTAATTATGATTCCTCTCTATCCGGTTCCATAAATTACGTTATGTTATCAAATTTGAATTTGGAATAATTAATAGTTATCACACTTAAATTTAAAAAAGAAATTTTATCTAAATAAAACACACTTGAGTGCTCATATCCCTATACTACCTACATAAAACACAATCGGTTATTGATATAAAAAATATTTACAACAATTACACGAATAGTCCTTTGAATTTTCATTTAAGCGATTGTTATCCATTTGCAATTAAAGTATATCAATTAATTGTGTGATAAACTTTCTATTTTGCATTTGGTGAAATGAAAAAGAAAATGGAAATTTGTCAACATTAATGGTTTTTTTTTTCATTAAGTATCATATAAAAAAGATAAACATTTATTTGATTCAACATTAAAGCTGATTAATTTGAAAATATTTTCAGATTGGCTTGAATAATGCCATTACATATTGATTTGATCATTAAATAATATTAATGGTTTTTTGAAACTCAAAAATAATTAATACAAAATCATCAGTGATTCTTTAATTGCGAACTCTAGTTGTAATTTTATAAAACTTATTCTAAAAAAACTTAGTAAAATAGAAATAAGTCTTCAAATTATAAAGTAATTAAAAATAGGAAAAGTAAGCCCGTAAACAAAATTTTAGCATTAATTTAAAATTTAAAAAGCTTATTGTCATCAAGAAATTAATCCTAATAAGGAGATGATTTCCTTATCATATATTTGGTCGTAATTTAAATCTTTAACATTCCAATCACATTTTGTACATAGAGTTTATATTTTTGATAATTAGTCCATTGCTTATTTTACGGGTACAATCATTTTATTCTTCAGTTCCATATAATACTAACACAATTTTATTTTCTTTTAGTCATACAATGCTTATGATTTTTATTTTACTATTCATTTCTTCCCTTTCCATTAACTCAATACTTGCATTTTATATCGTATGCACTATTTTATCTTTATATAATATGTATTAATATGAACTTCAAATATATTATACACTTATTATAAATGAACCCCGGGTTTGAAATCTAGTGTACTAAATGCCTTCAAAACTGCCAAAAATGACCACAGATCGTAGTGCTACTTGTGTAGTTCAGTTTAGTGTTGAATTGTAAAATCATTGAATAACTTCTCAAAAAAAATTATTTGATTAATACGATTCTGCTTATCACAAACAAATCTAAAATAATTTTTTTTCCTATAACTAGGAAGGAGAATATTTAAATATTAGAAGCGAATAGCAATGGGTGTTTAAGTTTCAAAAGAAAAAAAAAAGGAAGGGGAATTTTATATCTAGTGTACACATAAAGTTATTATTTTTCTAACAAAGAATTCTTAGTAAGAGTAGAAAGTGATAACGTTGTTATTCTAGTTTTTATGTCATGATAAAAAAAAAAAAGACAATATATCAAACCTACGAGAGTTAGTTAATTAGTACTTCCTCCGTCCTAAAATTATTTTCTATATATTTTGAACTTTTATTTTCAATTCAATTTGTACTAAACTTTGAATCCAAATGGACCTAAATTTTGTAAAAGATGGAGTATTAAAACTAAAATTTTATATTTTTGCTTGCGTATCTAATTTATCTTTGCTTAATCTTGTACAAACATTCCTTCCTAGAATAATTAAGATCGTAATAAATCAATAATAATAAATTAGAAAATAAGAGAGTAATAGGTTTTTTATTCGAATGTCAATTATCTTTGGCAGTACTATTTAACGTGTAGTTTGGTACAATAGTTTTTTCTCAGCTCACTGATGACATGACTTGATGTAAATTTTTTGGCTGTTGCATATCTTTTTTTTTTTTTGGATGAAAGATAAATTGTATTACTTCTCCACAAACAGTCCACCTTTTACATTCTATTTCTGCTATTACAAAACTCCTTTCTCTATTTAACATCCCAAACCTAGTTGTTGTAGAAAGACTTTTTCAGAACTTTTAAATTGTTTACAAACTAATTTCAGCCTAACAAGTACTTCATTGATTCATCCTATCAGGGACTCTATTGCATTCTAGCCAATCCTTCACCAACTATAACAGTTGTTTTGAATACCCACACTGAAAAAACAGGTGCTCAAAACTTTCAGTTCCTGGATTACGCGGCTCGGATTCTACTGATTGATCAATAGCTCGCATTTGCAACAACGTATCTGCTGTCAGTAATCTTCTCTTCACTGCTAACCAAAGTATAAAGCTATGTTTAGGGATATTATACTTATTCCAAAAAGATCCTGCTTCCCGCATCTTCTGACCACTACCTCTCATCCACTTATAGCCTGATTTAGTTGAATATCTACCAGAAGAGTCAACAGCCCATTTCTCATTAACCACACCACTTTTAAGAATCTCATTGAGTTTTATAGACTTCCTCCAATGCAAACTAACATCTTGAGGAGGTTGGTATTCCCACATTTCTGCGTCTTTAGAAAAGTACTCATGGCACCATTTTACCCATAGGTTCTATTTCTTCTCAACTAAAGCCCAAATCTGTTTCCCTAGTGCCACTTTATTCCATATTTCAGGTTCCTTGATATTCAAACCTCCCAACTTCTTAGGTTTACAAATATCATTCCAGGCCACCAATGCATAGGCCCTACCATTCTCTTTCTTTCCCCATAAAAATCTCTGCACACTCTTATTATCTGAGTGATTATACTCTTAGGTAATTAGAATATAGATGCCTAGTAGGTATGCATCGTTAACAAAGCAGAATTTACCAACACAACTCGCCCTGCGTAGGACAAGTGCTGGTGGTCCAACAATGTATCCTAGCAGTAATTTTATTAACCAATGCTTGGCGGTCCATACTATTCCATTTATTCGGGGAAATTGGAATACCTAAATACTTCATCAGCAACTCCCCCATACTAAAACCTGTGATATGCTGTAATTCAGTATTTTCAATCTCATCCACCCCACCCATGTATATATGAGACTTAGCTAAGTTGGCTTCCAGATCAGAGCACTTTGCAAACTGTTCAAGCACTTTTGTTACTCTAGTGAGGGTTTCTTTCTATGCTTTACACAGGATGATCAAATAATCCGCAACTCACAGGTTGGTGATTTTTAATCTCTTGCACTTACGATGAAACTTAAAGCCCCCCTAATCAACTTCAGCCTTAAACATCCTGCTCAGATACTCCATACAAATCACAAACAGCAATGGGGACACTGGATCACCTTGCCGTATTCCCCGTTTCCCCTCGAAGTGTCCATCCCTCCCATTCATATTCAAAGAGTAAGTACACGATGAAATACATTCCAGGGTCCA